TATATATAACTACAAGGCGGGACGGGTTGGGTAACATAATATCTGTACCCACTTTCCAGGTCTATACACGCCCCATACCCATCCCTATATAAGTGGATATTTATCCGTCCCGCATGAAAATATTTTTACGGGTGTCTGTAGAGTCTAGGTCCATTTTGTCATCCTAATAACTGGTCACAATATTTTATTTATTATTTTTTAGGTTTCCATCTCGCAATTAAGATATATTTTGTATTTGGACATTATCTTATTTAAAATACCTATTAGTTTATCTTAGTCACTTTAATTTATACACATTTACACATTTTATTTTTGGTTTAATTATTTGTATCAATTTTAAGAAAAATTGTTGATATATTTGCAAATACATATTGTGAGATCCTTTCATTTTCTCTTGATATGATTTGTAATTAGATGTGTACAAATTTATAAGCCCAACAATAAAAAAATAAACTTCACATAAGTTTTAAACATCTTGAATGATTTCAATATAATTATTCTTTTAATGGTGTTTAAAAAAAATAGTGGGTGTTTGTGAAAAATAAAATAATAAAAGATAGTTTTCTATAGTATAGAGCTTCATTTAAATAATATTCTTCAAGACTTGAAATACAAGAACTTCTAATAAGAAATAACATGCTTAAGTAATACTTTTTCAAAATATACATAATCTTTATACAAAAGAGACAGAGTTGGATTATGTTAAAGAGAATTAATATTTAACAATTGTTATAAACTTAGTTTAAATGTGAACACTACTATAGAAACATTGTTACAATAGGTTTGCATTATATCATATATAGCTCAAAGAAATCACTTACATCATAACATAAAACAAAAATTATAGGCTAACAAATATTTTGATCCAACAAAATTAAATATTTCACCTTGTTGACATGAAACATGAGTATCATTAAAGGAAATGACATAAATATTTTAGCTAAGTTTCTCACTTATGATTCCTTGAATTGACCCTACTAGACCCACAACTGTCACAGCAAAGCAAACAAAGCTAAACATCCTAATAAGAACAATCCATTTTCTAGTCCAACCACCAATTTTCTTTTGTTGTAAATACATCTCTACTGGAAAGTAGATAGCCAATGGCCAAAAGTTTATGGCTCCTAACACTCCCAAAACTTGGTTGAAGTAAGGGAACAAAATTGCAATTCCAGTGGTTGAAATCACATAGGTTGTTCTAAAACAAAACCTAAATACATTTAACTCAAAATTGGATAATAAAGGCAATTTCACTTTGTAGGACTTATTTACAAATCTATTATTAGGGATTTTTCTTGAGCACCATCTATCAACAGATATTGGTTGACTATATATCTGATTAACAAAACATATACATTATAAGTATGAATCAAAAGTTTCAACAGCCAAGAAAGTAGTGATGTAAAGAATTGACACATTTTATAAATAAGAAAACAAGGGATATAACATAGTTAAAATTTGTTGTTTTTTTTTTTAATTAACACCCTAGTTGATTTTCAGTAAGTTATGAAATTACATAAGAAGGAGTTAAAGATTTATTAATCAAAAAGTTGTGCATGCCTAATCCCAACTACATATTGTTCCATGAAATGGTCATGATCATCAGATGCTCTAGATATGATGATATACTTCATAATTTCATGAAGATCGTGTATGAATGTAGTTTTTAAGTCTTAGTGATTTTTTTTAGTTACTTTAATATAGGATAGTTTCTTGTATTCTCATTTATCTCTTATTAGTTTTAAAGAAAACAAGATATTTTGTGTTACTACTTACAGTAGTTTTGTTTAAGAAGAAATATCATTATGTTGTTGGTTCACATATTTATGACAAGATATATAACTATTTCCTATATGAATCTCATTTAAAATATTGTATTTACTATTTCCTTATATTGTTTTACTCTTAATGTTGGTTGTAGGCAACTTAATTACTTATTGTGATTGCACTCTTTAGATGAATGATGATGTTTTATCATTTAACATTAAACAAATACAAAATGCACTTCTTATGAGAAATCATATACCATGATTCTAGTGTAAAAATAAATAAATTGTGACAAGTTAGTAGTAGTACCTGATATCCTCCCACCAAATGAAGAATAATGCAAACATTAGCAAAGGCAACAAGCCAATAAGGCTCATAAAAACCAAAACCTATCAAGAGGTTTCCTGGTGTATCATTTCCAAAAGCTGCATATCCAAAGCATCCACAACAAAGGTAGAAGAATGTTTTCATGATTATTGCAACCATGAAGGCCTTTTTCATGATTCGATTTTCTGGTGGATGAGACCTTAGAGTATCCTTTGCTCAAAAAGATAAAATACTTTTTATTTGTGTTTCTACCTCTTACAATCCAATTTGAATATGAAATATTAAGGTACCTGTATTTCAAGAAGGAGCAAGGCATATGGATAGGCAAAGGCAATGTCACCAAGTGCTTGGAAGACTAACCATAACTTATTAGCAATGTTAGTTGCTGGTATTCCTGTTATGCTCCCATAATTCTTCTATTTTCTAAATGTGTGACCAAAATTTTATGCATAAATCTCTCTTTCTAAACTTTGTTTTAAAGTAAATGTCATAATATGTTCTTTTAATGCATAATTTAGCATTCCAACTTTTTGGCCTTCATTGTTGAGCTAGCTAACAATACTTTAAGAACATGCAATACTTTTTGTTAAATAGTTTTAACTAAATTAAATATTCTTTTTTATGTTTTCATGTATGAAGTCTTAAGGTAAACTCTAAGTTCAATCTAATGGTGGGAGTTGGGATAGATGTATGAGGACTTAAATTTAATAAGTATTGTCATTATTATAATTTTTCTACTAATAAAAAAATTATTTTTTTAAGAGTGATGGTCAAGTTTAATTAAGATTAATAAAAAAATATAATAATAATATAAAAAAAGTGATGTTTTATTCTTAATATTATATCTATTTATATCACATCATCATACTGTATAAATAATATTCGCACACGCACGCACGCATGCGCACGTGAGCACAGATATATACTACTTAAATCATTATAATTTCAATGTAGTACTAAAAGCACAACATCCGCCTTAAAAAATCTTTTGTTGTGTTGAGTTCATAGAACTTGCATGAGACATTTTTTTTTTTACATATTCTAAGTAGAACTAAGTGTAGCAAAAAAACATAATTATACTTAGGTGGATAACTAATTGAAATTATATGGGTTTAAGTATACATAAAGTATGAGTATTATTTGCAATGTTTATTCATGCGAATGGTGACACTGTAAGATAAGATACAAATGATAAAATACTAACATATTTTGAACAATTTAGTAGCTTGAAATGAGTTATAGAACATTATTTTTTTTTTTTATAATCTAGTTGATTCACTCATCAGAAAGTTTGAAATTGACTAATAAACTAAATCTTAAACTAATAGCAAATACGTAAGAATAAAAGTTACCTATGACTTTTGCTATGCCAAGTCCTAGTCCAATGAATGAGTATGTAAATGACATAATTGCTGCAACAACCGAAACCCATAACATGTCATGGAGGTCTGGTATGAATGACATTACAATTTCAACAAGTCCAAACAACACCATATACAAATTAGCCCCATAACTACAAGGAGCTTGATGCCCTTCTTTGTGATAACAATTTGCTTTTAGAATTGCCCTGTATAGTAGAATAAACAAGTGTTGTTAGCTTATGTCCTTCGAAGCACAAACATATCTCTTGTTTGAAGTGGCAAACACATTTTTGACATAAACACCTTGTATAGTAAACTTTATTTTTTTTTTACCAACTTACACTCTTGAGTTGACATCTCTAAACAACTTAGGCACTAGCCAACAAACACGTTGACATTAAAAAAATTATTTTTAACTTACAAAAAGTCAACTATATAATATAAAATATTAGAAAAAATAGTTTGACTCAAAACTAAAAAGAAACAAAGTCTTTCAAGTATCACACATGAAAATGAAAAGAAGTAATGTAAATGATGAATCATATGCTCACCCAAATAAAATAGCATTAGGGGGAATTTTTTTTTAATAAGGGAAGTACCTTAGACTATTTGCCGTGGTAAGTACATAAGCACAACTAGTCCCATACAAAACCAAAAATTGAAGGAAACCGGCCAACCATGTCCTTCTTTCACCTAAACCAACATTAAATGAAATCATAAGTTACAATAATTGATAAATTGACTACAATAGAATGAGCAAACCTTCTTTACCAAGATTGACTCTAACAGCGTCCATGTATGAGTAGCTTCTTTTCCCAGTGATAGAATCAGGACTTCTATAACAATCAGAAAGGAGGGCAGAAGAAATATAGGTGATGGCTGCAAAACAAAGCAAGACAATTGGCCCTCCAATCCATCCTAATTGGGAGGTACTCCATGCAAGAGACAGAACACCAGAACCAATAACAGCAGTAATGATGTGAGCTACAACACTCCATAAAGTTCCTAGAAAATTTAATGGTATGAACAAAAGTCATTATTCAAATCCATGCATGTGAAAATGTTATGGTTATGGTGATATAGAGTCTTACCATCCTTTTGTCATGTCCATCATCATCATAAGTACTAGTAATAATTGAGGGAGAATTTTCAACTTCCATCTGAATCCATGCATCAAATTCAAATACTCAATTATAGAAACTCTTGGAATTTATTGCTTGTTAATACCATAGAAAGGTGTAAGCTAACAACATTGAAGATAAAATTTGGTGTATCTAACTTGAACTTGAAGTTATTATCTATATTGTCCCTTCTTTTTTTTTTTTTTTTTGAAAAAATGGATCAAACAGATCATATTACTTGACATGAAATCTATGACTAATGTTACACATGCTTGTTTGTTTGTGTATTGTCAATGTGTCATTTTAAGCATATGAGATGCAAAAAATTCAAAATTTTGAAAAGCATGTCTTTGTTAACTAAAGTGTGTTAAAGTAAAAAGTACGTAGTCTTTGTTAGCAACTTATTTGGAACTTACATTGCAGGTAGGTGTGAGAAAAGGATGGCTTATACCAAGTTTACTTATGACCTTACTTGATCCAAAATTGTGATCAACTTATTTATTTGAATATAAAAACTCAAAATATATAGGATCAGATCAGGTCAACTTGATATTTTAACATAATATATCAATATAGATAAATTATAGAATAATAGAAATATAAAAATTAATTTAAAATATATTTTATAATGTACAATTTAAAATAAATAATACCATTATAAATATAATGTCATATTATACAAAATATTATCTATTAAATAAAATTATTTTATTATCAAGATACATTTTAAAAAAATTATTTTAAAAAAGACTGCAAAACATTAAACCTAGTTGGGACAATTCAAAGGGTAATATAAACTTATACTAAAAATTGCATTGGGTCTAATTTTAAAACACAAACTCATCGAATCCTCTTCAAGCTAAGTCCAGCCAAAGGAACAAGGAGTCAGGTCTTATATACTCCTATTTGCACAAATGAACAAGGAGTCAGGTCTTATATACTCCTAGTTGCACAAATATTGGTAATGAATATAGGATATAAAACTTTTTTAAAATATAGAATGAGAGTATAATAATATAAAATTTTAAAATATTGATATATAAAAAAATTATATATAGATTATGAAAGCGAATAAATGATTATAAAAGTACAAATAAACATGTAAAGTGTCAAGTAATAATAATAACAACAAACTAAAGCACAAAATATGATTTTGTTTCATAAAACATACCACAACATGGAAAAAAAAAAAAAAAAAAGGTGTTACTCAAATTTGATAGTATTAACAATGCTAGACTAAAAAATTAAAAAATGTAGTGACAGGCATAGGCATAACAAAAGAGGTAGCATTTAGAAAATGTTGGAATGAGTCCTACTTATAAATTGAGATATTGAGAATAGAGACAAAATAACGAGCAAAATAGAGTCACAATTACTCAGTCTCAAACTTGTTTTCATTGGTCACGTGTTGACATGAGCAAGTGAATGAAAGCTAAAAGGGATAAATGAAAAACCTAACTTTTTAATTCATTTTCAAGTAGCAAACCTAGGATAAGGGTTAACGATATCGAAACAAACCCAGTTAAACTAGTACCATTTTCATGTTTTTTTTCTTTCTCGAAAGTGTACCTAACACACTATTGATGGATACCTGGTACAAGGATGACTTGACTTTGAGAGTAGCTGAGTTTCAGAGTTTGTGAGAGTAGCTGAGTTTCAGATTTTGAATAATACATTGAAGACAAAGAAAATCTGCTTGCACTTCACCCACTGGTAATGATCATAATTTATATATAATTGCATATCAGTAGGAGTTAGTTGTCATGCTAATCATGAAGTTTTCTATTATTTTTTTTTACTACTTTATTTTCAATATCACTCTATTGTTGTAAAAAAAAGGTTAAAAATTTCTTTTGGTCCTGATAATATTTTTTTGTTTCAATTTAGTCCCATTTTAATTTTAGGTCTCAATTTAGTCCCCAATAATTTAAATCATTGCAATTTGGGACTTCCGTCCAAATAATTTAAACGGGGTTAACTCCTGCTGACGTGGATGTCAGGTGGATGTCACGTAGATGCATAGGTGGATGCCAAATGTCATGAATACACCTGGAACCAAAACGACCCGTTCTGCATGCACATGTTATGTGTTAATTTTGCAACTGGAACGGGCCGTTCCAAATGCAAATTTAACACAACATGAGTGGAGCATGATGGGCCGTTCTGAAATCAGAACGGGCCGTTCTGTTGTTAGAACGGGCCGTTTTGAATTCAGAACGGCCCGTTCCATGACGTCAACTTCATGCTTTTTATTGTATTATTTTTTTTATTATATCTATATTAATAAAAATATAATAAATAAAAAATACAATAATTAATATTCATTTATGAATAAAACTATAAAAAAAAAATCAAATAAGATAAAACCTTCCAAAATCCTTCTTTGATTTGAACTTATCCAGTTTAAAATCTTGACTAAAATACCGCAATGTGATTCAAAAATTGAAAATAAAAATTCATAATATATCATAAATTCAAAGACAAAAACATGGGTCAGAAACTGAAAATAAAAATTCAGAACATAACATATACTAAAAAAGTTCAAAGAAATTATTGAGAAAGGAAATCATCTGGGTAACGCTGAAGAGAAACCCTAAACCACAAAAATTCAGGTTGTACCTCCTCAAGAACAGGTTGTTATTGTTGGGGTATATCATCAATGACTTCAAGGGAAAACACCGTTTTGTTTCATCCTTGACTGTATAGTGTCAATTTGGTAGTAAGTGGTTCACTTCAATTTGACTAACAATGAAATAAAACTTGTTACCATTGTCCTTAGTGATACACTGCATCTTCCTTAATGATACACTGTATAGCCCAAATGTTTAGCAATTGAAGTTATCAATCCCCATTAACAATATTACCAAATCTAGTGTTTGAAATACTTTGTATTTTGATTTTTTTTACGAAATTCTGGAACCAGAATGGCCCGTTCTGGTTACACTGTTGGTGTGTTAATTTTGCATCTAGAACGGCCCGTTCCAGGTACAAAATTTACACACCGATAGTGTAACCAGAACGGGCCGTTCTGGTTTCAAAACGGGCCGTTTTGGTTCCAGGTGTATTCAAGTATTTTGGGATCCACCTACGTGGCATCTACGTGACATCCACCTGACATCCACGTGACCACCAGTTAACTCCGTTTAAATCATTTAGACAGAAGTCCCAAATTACAATGATTTAAATTATTGGGGACCAAATTGAGACCTAAAATTAAAGTGGGACTAAATTAAAACAAAAAATATTATAAGGAACCAAAAGAGGTTCTTAACCTAAAAAAAATCTATGGTTGAAATAGGAAAAAATATTTAAATTTCCTTTTGGTCTCAATAGGTTAATGAGTTTTTATTTTTTAATTTTTTTTCCATTGTAGATTAATTTTAAAAATTATTTATCAAAATGAAATTATTTTGAAATAGAAATAAATTAGTTTTTAGAGTTGTCAATGAGTAATATCGTTATACGTTATAATGACACGTTTTTTTTATCATTTTATCTATGAGATTGTCATACACAATTTTTTTTACGATTTTTCTTTTAAATTTTTAAATAATAAAATAATATTAAAAATTAATCATTCTTATAAAAATAAAAGTCAAATTTAAAACCTTTGTATTTAAGGATCAAATGTAATATTATTTGGTTTAATAAATATTAATAATTTTTAAATAAAATAAAATATAAAATATCTCGATCTTACTATTTTTCTATAAAATAAAATTTGTAAAATTTTTTTTTTTTATCATTATAGTTCATAACATCCCTTTTTTTTTCTAGAGTCAATATATGTTGTAGTACTTTTAAAAAAAAAATTAGAGGGTCATAAATAAATAAATAAATAAATATATATATATATATATACTATGCGCAATAACAATTAAAATTTTAAACATATAAAAAAGATAAAATTTACCTTAAAAAGTATAAAAGAATATAACAGAATTGTTTAAAAGTTACCAAATTTTTAATTTATTATAAAAAAAATAAATATGATAAATAAGAAAAATTAATTACAAAAATAAAACAAATATAATTTATTTTTTTAAACACTATACCTTCAATTTTTAAAAAAGTAAGAGGTTTTTTTTTTTTACTTTTATTAAAAAATATAGCGACCATTTTTTAGATTTTTTGAAATAAATTTATAACAGATTTATTTAAAAATAACAACTAAATTTTTCATCTATTTTAAGATAAAGTAAATAAAATATAAAAGATTTATTTAAAAAAAATATACCTAATTTAAAAAAAAATATATACTTTAATTTTTTAAAATACAACATATTTTTAAAAAATAGACAGATTTGTTTTTAAAAAATTTGGCCAATAGTGACTATTTTCTTAAAAAATACATTTTAAAAATAAAGTTAACTTAATGAAAAAAATATAAAAAATATTTTAAAAATAAGGATATTAGTATTTAAATATGTCGCTATAGGCTAAATAACATAAAAATAAAAAATTAGATCCATATGGGTTATAAAGAAATTAAAAAAAAATTGACCTTTTTTTAGTATTTTTTAAAGATAAATCTTTAATGCTTACTATAATTCATAGCGATTAGCGATTTTTTTTTTAATGTTATAAATTTATTGAAAAAATCTCTATAATAGGTTGTTAAAATAGGTCATTATAAGTTTTTTTAAAAATTCCTAAAATAGGTCGCTATAATAAAATTGTTATAATTTTTTTTTTTTAAAAGTTGCTATAGATCAAAACATATCTATTTTTTTTAATGTCTTTTATAGTCTATAACAACCCAATTTTGAAAATTTAAATATTAGTATCTTTATTTTAAAAATATTTATTATATTTTTTCATTAAGTTTATCTTTATTTTTCTAATTTATTTTAAAAATAGTCGCTGTTGGAAAAAAAATATAAAAACAAATCTGCCTATTTTTTTTTTTATAAAAAATATGTTATTTTTAAAAAATTAAAGTGATAAATTTAAAGAGTTTTAGGTATATTTTTTAATCAAATCATGTCTGTTTTCTTTAATTTTTAAAAAAATAAGTTATCTTTATTTATATTTTTATA